TAACCTGCTTTAGCACCAGCTATCCAGCGAAGAATTGTTGGAGGATCTTCTCATGTCTAGGGGCAATGATTAGAATGTGCTTCCCCAAACCCATGCACTAGAAACCTAACCCCCAGTGCAGCCGAGCTGAGATGTGGTTAGATCACAAGGACCCTGCTTCCGTGAACAGATTATCATGATCATGGTGGGAGGATCCTGATCAGGAGAGTACATTCATTATAAAGCAGATATAGCCCCACTTCTCCCCCTTGGCTGCTCCCACCCTCTCATTTCCAGCTTGGGATGACACAGAGAGGAGGCCATTGCTGGATGCTGGCACCGTGGTCTTGGGCGCTCCATTGCTGGAGCTAGGAAGGAATATGTCTGTGTCGTTTGGATCACCCAGTCCGTGGTACTCAAACGGCATCCCCTGGCAAACGTGTACATAAACTGCTGGGTGGGCCCCACACTCTCTTTGAGGACAGTGCTGGGGCTGGGGAGAAGGGGCAAGTGCTAGGGTAGGAGAGGCCTGCAGCCACACGGGTGAGGACAACAGAGGTCAGGGAGAGGGAGGGTCAGGAGCAGGGGCCAGGGCAGCCGATGCAGACATCTCCACACGGCAGCAGAGTGGGGAGGATTTGCTGACAGTCGGATGTGGGGGTCGCCATGGATGACCCTATATTTCTGTGTGAGCAACGATAGGTACGAACCTGCCTTTAATCAAGGGAGAAAAGTCTTCTTTAAAAGCACAGCCCCTTGAGGATCTTTCTAGAATCCCTTCATATCCCACTTCATTTTGCCAACAGGAAATGAGAGTGCAGAGATCATTGAATGGATTGACCTCAAAAAAAGTGAGCAACTGACTGAAAGCAAAAGTTCAAGTTCTAGAATGAATGCCAATTAAGACTGCAGAGCTTTCTGTAGAGAGGAAAAATAAAAAATAAAAAGAAAATAACCCTGCACAATGTTTAAAATGTCACTTTTTAAAAAGACATGAACAACCCATGGGGGGAAATAAAGACCATGTAATTCAAAGAAACTGACACACACACACACACACACACACACACACACACACCCTCCAACAAGATCGGACCAAATCCATTTCCAATGTGTCTTTTAGAGGCACTGAAGAAAAATTTTATGTGCTACATAATTTTGCTTAATGCTCACTGCCATTTATTGGACATTTATGGTATGTTGTGCAATGATCTGACTGATTATGTCATTCAATCTTCACAAAGAGCCCAAATGAGGCTGGTCTGCTCGTGTTCTCCTGGTTTTATGGATGAGGAATGAAAGCCCATAGAGGCTATGTAGCACACTTTGGGTCACACTGATAATAAGCAGTGTGGCTAAGCTACAAATCCTGATTCTAGACCGCACTCACTTGACTGTGAGATGGGATAAGTACGAACCCTCTCTGGGACTGGGGATAAATAGAGACCATGCATGTTTCTAGTTCTTTGTGCTCTGTGCGCCTAGCCCCAAACCTGATGAGCCTAAACTATAAATAAACTCTGTTGGCAGGGTCAGGTGAGTAAAAATCTGAAAAGATTCAAGGTCATCTCGGAGGAACACACACAAGATGTCAAGAGGTCTAGAGAAGCCCTTTATGTAGAGAACACTGTGGCTGTCTTGAGACATTTGAAAGCATATCCTAGGAAAGGAAGACCAGAATTGAGGTGAGGGAAGTCCGTGTTACAACGGGACACTGTTATAATTTAATGAAGCCGTGTCTAGAATGGGAACACTGTCTTGGAACTCATCAAGATCCCCATGCAGAGACTGGACAATGAACAGGAATGCACGGTAGACATGGGATCAGTTGCCTACGCTGCCTTCGAGTTCCCTTTCACAGGCACAATGGATGACTGTTTATAGAAAAGTAGGTGTCAAAACCCAAGGTTGCTTAATTCCTCATTTGATTTCCATAGCGACACATCTTCAGGATTAGAGCACAGTTCTGGAACGATGCTCTACAGGGGACTTCCTAGTAGGTCTTGGGGGATAGTGACAAAACTACTGTGGGAAGGCCCATGGCTCTTCACAAGTACAGTGCTGTCATGTTAGTAAAAGTTCTTCTTACGGTGTCATGTGGGGTACCTGGGAGCTGCCAGGTAGGTAGAGAAGGATTCCTATGCTGGGAGACTTGGACAGGAGAAGACGAATATCATGTTGGGAGTTTCGGGTAGTGAAAGGGTGGGAAGCATTGCCACAGACAACAGTTCTTTTGTTACAGGACAAAGTGGTCCATGACCTTGATCTGCACTCAGATCCTCCAACTCCCAGGAGACAATGCGGATGCTTAAAAAAAAAAAAATCTCTCCAATTTGTATTTATTTGGCAAGAGGATTTTTCTCTCTCAGGATGAGTGGTCTTGTCAGAATGATGGATATATTGATTCTCTTTGTCCTGCTGCTGTCTGAGGGGAGCCTAAGTCTTAGCCTGGGTGACAGCTGAGGAGGCATGAGGAGGTGGCAGGGCCCAGGGTGGTACAAAGTGTGCAGATAGTCCCACTCTTCATTATCCCGGCCTTCTCTTTTTTGATTCATTTTATTGAAGAGCCCAATTCAGTGAAGGACCTACCATCATTCTAAACTCAATTGAAACATTCCATGAATTCCTACTGAGACTGTAAAATGGCGTGTTTGAATGAAGATACATTAAGTAATATCCTAATAGGCTATTTCCGGTATCTCTGTTTAGATAATCAAAATTCATCTGAGTCATAAAATCCTAAACCCTGAATGGTGGTCACAGGAGCACAAAAGTCCCAAGGACCCATGTGATGAAGGCAAGGACTGAAGTCTTAAGGAAAGAATCACAGGACAGAGCTAGGGGACATGGAGTAGTGGGACCCAGGCTTGACTCAACCTACTGCACAGGACACTGTTTTCTAAAATATGTTTGTGGAAATAACAGTTCTTCTAAGATTCACTCTTACTGTGTATAAGGGTTTTCCTGTGTGTAAGCAGCACATGTATGTCTGGGGCCACAGAGGCCCAAAGGGGGCACCAAATCCCTGGAACTGCAGCTACAAACAATTGTGAGCTGCCACGTGGGTGCTGGGAACCAAACCTAGGTCCTCTGCAAGAGCAGCCACTGCTTTTATCCACTAAACCATCACACCAGCTCCTGAAGCAATGGCTTTTCCTTTTTTATTTTTTTGAATTTCCAATCTGTCACAAATGGATATTTTCATAAAATATAATAAATGTTTTTTTAAGAGATGAAGCCTTTTAATATTCAACAAACAAACAAAAAGATATCGTCTATTTGCTATAGAAGTATTGAAAAGTGTCTTCTTAATTTCTGCAGTGTGGGTACAAATGGGTAATGAGCATTTAGTGAGCATCCTTTGAGTTGGTGGCAGTGGGGAACTTCCTCAACCTTTCCTAGTTTCTTTACTCAGTTTCCCTAGTGATGGACATGGTTGGCAGTGCGCATGTGTGGTATATTTCAAGGTGTCATTCAAAAATTAAGCTATGATTGCCCTCATTAACAATACTGCTAGCTGGAACCAATGGCAAAGGATCAACTGTAATTTTGTTGGTTTTCTTTGGCAACAATGGAGAGTATTATGAGAAAGCAATCAAGCCAGAATTGTTAGAGGGAACAGCTTCCCTTGGAGGTAGCTATTTCCCAACACACATCCCTTGGCTAGGAAGTAGGAAGGTGATCCATGGTCAACTTTTGTTTGGCTCTCCACTGTAGCAGCCCACGGAGTCTCCAGACCACCATTTTCCCATCTGTATTTCTCAATAGACAGCCATCACTACCCTTGGCGATATAGCCCCTCACCTCAGATGGAAATACTCTCTCCTTGTTATTAGGGAGCTTGGTCAAATAGTGTGCATCGGAGTCATTGAGAAATCCCAGACATCCCTTTGGCACAGAGAGGGTGGCAGTGGTCCTGGCATATCTGTTAGAAGCAGTGTCAGGGATGAATGATCTCCCTTAGTGGAAGGCAGACTGCAGGCCTGAGTCGGGGATAGAATTCTTTGCAGGCCTCCCAGAGATGCATCCGGGGGCACTTTCTGGCGAAGGATGGGTTATACCAGTGGCTCCCACGCATATCCCTGGACTCCAGTGCTCTGCTTCCTCCTTCTTCAGGAACGGGGGCAAATCTCTCCACGCTTGTAATCTGCTTACCCCGTCCTCCCCTCCTGCCAGTTCTCATCACTTCCCGATGCACTTAAATCATTTTCAGCATCATGGAGTTGTCACAAAATTAAAAATAAGCCATAGAATATGGAATATAAAATTATTCTCTCCCTGTTTGCCCATATCAGGGCAGGTGAGACCACTATTAATGGTCGCACGTGTATATTATTTCTCAAAATGGCAATGTTTAGAGAAACAATACGGTCTACCGGGGATATGTATACATGCCACTCCTTTGTGTGTGTGTGCAGGTCAGGGCTGTCCTCTCAGACATCTCCTACTGTCTTCTGAGACAGGGTGTCACTGGTCTGGAACTTGTCATGTGAATTAGGCTAGCTGGCCAACAAGCCTCAGAGATCTACCTAGCTCTGTTTTCTCACTACTGGGACTGCAAGCTTGTACCATTACGCCTGGCCTTTATTCTTCACAGATCTGAGTATTGAACTTGGATTCTTATGCTTGCAAGGCTGCTTCTTACCCACTCCTCATCTTTTGAAAAAATTAAATGTGCTTACTCAGTACTTTGACAACGGACATATACTATTTCCCCCATTTTTTGTGTGTTTTGAGAGTTGAGACAGGGTTTCTCTGTGTAGCTTTTGGAGCCCATCCTGGAACTTGTTCTGTAGACCAGACTAGCCTTGAACTCACAGAGATCCACCTGCTTCTGCCTCCCAAGGGCTGGGATTAAAGGTATATGCTACCACTACCCAGCTAACCCTTTTTAATACTCAGATTTGACATGACTTTACTCTCAAGCCTTTTTCTGTTCTTCGAAGGGAAAGGAATGAGGCTTTACACTCTCTAATCCCCTGCCTGTCCCCCCTCCCAAGCAGTCACTTTCCCACTGTTACCTTTCCAGCCTCTGCATGGTCATAGCAAGTGTCTTGTTGAGCTCATCGATCATCCTGCAGCCTGAGGGGTGCATGGGCAAGGTGCCAGTAGAGGACGGGAGGTGCTGGCCATGGCTGCCATACTGCAGTTGGTGCTGCATCTGGGATGGCAGGACAGTGTGGTGGTGCTGGGCCACGGCCTGCTGGCTGCTCTTCTGGGTTGCGTAGGATGCCAGGGAGAGCTCTGGCCCTCCGACAGGCATACAGATCAGGACTTTCTTTGGAGGTAGCGGAGGCGACAGTTTCACTGGCAGACAAGGCAATTTCACAGGGGCGCCAGGATCTGCGGCAGAAGGAGGGTGAGAAGAAGATGTGAGTTGGGGGAGGGCATTAAATGAAACCCAGAACGTCATGTGTTTGCACTTTGGGACCACAGCCTCCTGGAGGGTGGACGCTATTCAGTTTTCTGGCCAGACTACTCTGGCACCTGGATAGAATGAGAGATGGGTCTCAGAGTCCATCAATCAAGGCTTCTCAGAGACCAAGGTAAGATAGCATCAGGAAAGCATGTGCCATGGAAACAGGAGCTGAGAAAAAAAAGAAAAAAAAAACCTTTTCCAGGATCTACCACAATGACTACACATTTGCCACTGTTAAAGTAACATATGCTTTCAGCTGGCAGGGTCCAACTTGCCTACACTGACACAGGACAGAAGTCCATACTCTGTTCAAGTCTCTCCCTACAAGTGACCATGCTGCCGTTCTTGATTCCTTAGCTCTCACTGAGAAGCTGCTTTGTAAGGCTTAGTGGCTGCAGAGCCTGACGCGGGCACACCAAGTAGGGGTGGGGTGTGAGCATTGTTGCTGGGCTGGTGGGTCCACTCACAACCAACTGTGGTTCAAGCTGTACCCTTAAGGGGCTAAAGAGTTTATCGTACACACCACACACATACACCTGAAGGTAATTTTACATTTTCCCAATAACTTTGGTCATGAACAAAAGGTTGCACACAGCAAACCACCAGAAAGTGGCCCCTTTGGTGAGGCTTAGAAACCAGTGCTTGGAGAAAGCCGAGGGAGGAAGATTACAAGTTGAACCCATCTTGGGCTACAGAGTAAGCTCCCGTCTCAAAACAAAACAAAAACAAACTCAAGAGCTTGGTGGATTCAGAAAGACAAATACTGTAAATTTTTTTCTCATACAGGGACCCTCGATTTTAATTTTTCTGTATGTGTGAGTCTGTATGTATGTGATGTGGTGAACAGGTGCGTGTGACTGTGTGTGCATGTGAGTACATGTTTATGGGCATGAGTGTGTATTTGTGGGTGTGTATAGGTGTGTACATGTGTTTTATGAAATGAAAAAGGGTACTATGAGAGGGAAAAACACTTTGGGGAATAGGAAGACATAAAAGGGAGGCTAATACAATATATAGTATATGGCAGGCAAACACAAGGGAGGCTACTGGAAGAGGGGGGCAGTAAGCAGGGAGCAGGGTATTGGGGAGGGGAGCAAGGGAAAAAGGTCAACAAAAGCGAAGTATATTTAAAAATTCTGTAATTAAACCCATTACTCTGTATGCTAGTTTTAAAAAGTAATTAAAACAAACAAACAATCAACAGTAACCCCTGTCCTCCCAAGGACTGGGGATGTGGCTCCACACCCAGAGCCAGCAATACCAAACTGAGAACAAACACCAAACCAAACACTGAAGAATGCCACTTGTCTCATCATGGTGGCACTCAGGGCAATGTATTTTAGAGTAGAACCAAACCCTCGGTTCTGTGACAGTGTCATTAAAACTCCCTGGACAGTCCACATTAAGATGGGTCAGGGTCAGACAAACTCTCAGAGAGCATTCTGGGAGAGATCTTGTAGTTCTCTTGCTTAGTATTCCCTGAATTCATCTGGTCCGGGAGGGGTGGGGCTGAGCTTGTCTAGGAGAATCATGTTCAGAAGGGTGTGCCATGGAGGTGTCTTCCTGCCACGGTCCTGACCACTGATCTTTGGAGTCCCCTTTCTCTTCACCCAGTGTTTGTTTCCTTCCACTTAATTTATACTGGAGCACAGACAGGGCAAGGCTGCCCCCCAGTTTAAAACTGAGGACTGCCTTAGGCTGCCTGTTGCTTGACTCAGGCCTTCAGACCCACACTTAAGTAGTCTGCTCTGAAAAAGAATGTTTCCTAGGGTACCCAGAAAGCCTCTGGGCAAAGTTACTTCAATAGCCTCTCTCTACTCTCCTCACTCGGTATCCCACAAATTCAGGTCCCCCCCCCCCCCCCAGCTTGCTCTGCCAAGCGGCTTTTCTGCTCACTCACCATCTCATGCAAGCTGCTGAGGTCTTCCTCAGCCTCTTCTGGGTTCCTTCCTCTTAGCACTCTGTCTGCCAAGGAACAGGAAGTAAGAGCTTATGGCTCCCTGCCTCTCCTTGGGACCCAGTGGTCTGTCCTCAGCACAACCCCTGTATATACTCTCTATTCCCAACTTCCGATGTCACTGACTACGTGAGGTTTCCGTACCCTGGGTTCTTTCCTGTGGTTTGGAATATTCTGCTATGTAGTCTTGGCCAATTCCTATTCTGCCTTCCAGATTTAACTCACAAAAAAACCTCTCCCAAATTCACCTGGCTCATTGTATTGTGCTTTCCCCTCTATACAGAGAATACACATTGAGTTGACATTAACAATAACAACAGCAATGATGGTGACAGACATTTCAGTCAAGCTCAGATCAAGTTGCTCTTATCTGAAATGCTTGGAACCATTAATATTTCAATATAGACTCTTCTAGATTTTAGAATATGCACATATACACACATGTATTGGGGATGGGGCCCAAGTGCAAACATGATATCCGTTCAAGTTTCATATATACCTTTATAGAGAGAGCAGGATAACATCATAAGTTTTAATTAAGATTTGTTTTACAATTATGAATGTATCTGTGTGTGACTATTGCATGTGTGTACGGGTGCCCTCTGGGATCAGAGGTACTGGATCCCCTGAAGCTCATGTGGCAGGTGGTTCTGAGTCACTCCATGTGGGTGCAGGGAATCGAACCTGTGTCTCCTGCAAGGGCAGTGTGCTCTTTTAATTTGTGAGCCATCCCTCCAGTCCAGTTTCAGAGATTTTAAATAACACTGTACATGAAACAAGGTTCCTACACAAATGGACCATCAGGCAGGATCACCCGTGGCTTCACATCCGCACTAAATGTTCGATTCTCAAACATTTCCAATTTCAGAGGTCTAGACGAGGACTATTTCACCTAGGCCATGCTTACTAACCACAAGCCAGACACCGCTGTTCTAAGTGATTGCCATACAATAACCAACTTATTCACCACTTCCTATGCATGTAATTGCCTGCTTGGTCAGAGGACGGCAAACGGGTTTAACTTAAAGCATCCTTACCATCTTGTTCCATGCCCTGTTGGTCTGACCAAAGGAGCAAAACACAATTTTTCCACATATTTTTCTGGTTTGCTAAGATTACTGACTCCCTTTCTTAAGTTAAAAGTTAGTTTGTGTGTGTGTGTGTGTGTGTGTGTGTGTGTGTGTGTGTGTGATGTGAGGAGGGGGACGTGTGTGTACCACAGCACAGGCATGGAAGTCAAAGAGCCACTTTGCGGAGCCAGTTCTCTCCTTCCACCTTTACGTGGGTTGTGGTGATCGAACTTGGGTCTTCAAGCTTGCATGGTTGGGAGGCAAGTGCCTTTACTTGCTCAGCCACTTTGCCAGCCCGGAAACCTTTAAATTAAAGAGTATTTCTTAAGGATTATTGACGAGTGCATAAAATAATATTGTTTGGGGTATGAAAAAATAAACTTTCTGAATGAAAAGTGGTGTTCCCCCACTGTGGAGCAGATGCAGCAAACGGCAGCACGCTTCTGCTCGCTCTGCGCCTGGCCCCTGCGGCAGAGCAGTTGCGCATGCTCCTTTGCTGAGCTGACGCTCTGCGGTGCCAGCTGCCTGCGGCATTCTCAGGGAATCCTGAGATGTGATGGATCTGAAGGGAGCTCAGTCTCAGGAAGGGAGAACAAACACACACACATACACTTGTTTTTTACACATTTAAGCAAACACCTTTTTTTTCCCCCCAAAACAGGGTTTTACTGTAACTTTGGAGCCTGTCCTGGAACTAGCTCTTGTAGACCAGGCTATCCTCGAACTCACAGAGATCCGCCTGCCTCTGCCTCCCAAGTGCTGGGATTAAAGGCCTGCACCACCACGGCCCATCAGTAAACACCTTTTTTCAAAGTATAATGAAATATGAAATAAAATCTAAACAGAAAAAAAACCCACGACACCAGCAACTGAAGTTAAAGTAATTTACATATAAATACTGGAAAAAAAAACTGGCTCCAAAATTTAATTTTTAAAAATATTTTTCTTTCAGGGTACCAGCTTCTCAAAGTTGTGTCTCATCGGCCTCACTGGAAGGCTTGGCAAAGACTCGCTTGTAAGCCTCACCTCCAGAGCTCAGTTACTGAGGGTTGCAGATGGAGTCTCCCTGGAAACAAGTGTCCAGAGATAGATCACTCATGTTAATGGGGACCACACTCGGCAAGCATGTCACAAGTTACAGGGCTAAGAAGCAGAACCCAAACTTCTGGAGCTAAAAAATGTTAAGGTGCATGGCTCCATGAAAACATTGGTAGCTTTAGCAAAATGCACAACCCTCTCCTCAATGTTTCATTTCTCAAGTCTGCAAGATGGGATGAATCGCCCTGTCACATGACTTGTGGACATTTTTTAAGATATGGAAACTGGGCGGCACGGTGCCCAGGAGATATGAACTATTGTTCTTGTTATTACCCTCATCATCGATGAACATTTTCCATAGGAAGGCCCTCTACTCAAGGCTGGCCTAGGACACTCCCAGGTCCTGGACCTTCCTCCAGCCCAGTACATAACCACAATTCATTCTTCTTGACTTGTTGCTGATACTGTTTGCAGTGGACAGCTGTGATGGGTTGATCAAATCTCAGGGAGTGTGGTCATTTCCTCACCCACCTTCCTGGCCATCAGGACCTGAGCCTGGTACATAGATGCTCAATATTGTTCCGTTTTCTTCTCATCATGTCTATAGGTCTGTGGGAAAAGGTGGTGCATGGCATCCAGCGTCTCTTCCACTAATGAGGTCCAAATCAAAGTGTAGTCTATATCTAAATGGGCCTGAGAATCGCCCTCTAAGACACTTTCTCAATTCTGTCCCCCACCAGGTGACGTGAGAATGCGCCAAGGCTTCTCTGAGGAGATGTAGCTAGCTGCTACTCTGAGAGGACTCATTGAGCTGGCTGGCTTCTGGAGGCTTCTGCTACAGGCTGGGGGTGGAGCCCAA